CCCTCCCATCCGTCTTCTGCTCGTCGTAACGGGGACTTCCTGGACTGACGTCGCAGTTCCCTTTGGTAAGCAGTAGGTTAGCACAGGTCTAGGAAGCTGTGCTTTGGACGTGGTAACTTGTTGCTGAAAGAGGTGACACGCATCAAGTCAACGGCAGGGCTCCCTGGAACAGCTTGGAAGACTGAGGGGGTAACTGCCTGCAGAATATGGGATGTATTATGGGATGCAGGAGAAGAGCATCTTGTGACTGTACAGAAGTTACTATGGCATGCTTAGGGGAGGGACTAAAGGGAGGGAACAAGGTGGTTTGAGGATGAACAAGTATGGGAAAATAGAAGGATAAGGGGATAAAGGGCCTGGTCAGTTGTAAACAAGTGGCTGGTCAATATGCTTGGCCATGCCCAGTGCCAGATTACCGCAGTCTGTCCTCTTTTCTCATCAGGCTCCATTTCTAACTTTTCCTGGATGAGAGGACTCTGTGCTGTATTCGTGTGTGCATGTTGAGGCCTAAGTGCCAGCAGCTGGAGTGGTACTGTAAGTTATAGGGACCTCTGTGCCTGGCCTGCCAGCAATTGGAGAGACTGGAGTGAGTGAGGGTCTAAATGCCAGCAACTGGAGTGGAGACTCTAAGTCGTAGAGGCTTGTGTGTCTGGAGTACCAGTGACTGGAGAGACCAGAGTGCATGCGTATTGTCTTGGCAAGTATGCCAGGGTGTGGTTGCTAGTGAATATCATGCAGAGCTAGCCACTGAGGAGGATAAGAGGCTTGGGAGCCGGGTTTTGAGGCAGCTGTAAGTGTGGGACAGGTGCTAATGAGATCAGAGGGTCTTCAGTTTGGCAATATGAGAGTCCAGGAGGTTCAAGCCAGCGACTGGAGGGACTGCAAAATGTGAGGGTTGTTTTGGAAGCTCATTTGCATGTTTGTCTCTGAGTGAGGCAACTGGAGACAGAAGGATCCAAGGGCCGGTTACTGAGTGTGCTGAATGTCTAAGGCCATTTACTGGGGGATCATGGTATGCCTGTGGGGAGCTCTGTCTGTGTGTGTGTGTGTGTGTATATCTGGGTGAAGAGGTCTGTACCAGCAAGTGGAGTGGGGCTCTGGGGAGGCTGAGGATTCAGGGTTGGTTCCTGGATAGATTGAGTGTCTGAGGCCAGTTACTGGAGGGATCTGCATTGTATGTATGCGTATATTCCCCCCTAATGCACTTTTGTCCTGGTCAGCTAGGGAAAGGAGCACCATAAGGCCAGACCATGTTTGTGTTTGCATGAGCACTGTTCTTAGCTGTGTTGATCTGTATGGGCAGCCACGTGTGTACGCATATTTGCATGTGCAAGTATGGGAATACATCCTCAGTCTTGTCACTGGCTGGACCTGGGGACATGGAGTTGCAGCAGCCTTGTCTCCAGTGGGCTGCCAGGTTCAGGAGCCCCTAACACAGAAAAATTACTTCTTCTTTAAGTTTGAAGATGCAGAAATCGTTGACTCACAAAACTTAAATTTGGAGCCAAATCTATGATGACTGTTAAGTTGTGGTAGAATTTTAAAACATTTGTTGGTCTGGTTGATGTGAATAGGGCTACCTGCATGAATATCTAAACAGGTATATTTGTTTAAGCTGCCATGATAGAACATGGGAGCATAAATTAAGTTTAAACCTAGGCTTTTGTTGTAGGTGTTTTTTTAAATAGTGTCTATTTTTTAACTCAAGAGAAGTAAAAATAGAAATAAGAACAAAAATGGGGATCTCTTAGTGACCTGGTAGGTTTTGCACTTACGTTCTCCCTCTGTGTATGTCATAGAATCATAGCATCATAGAGTGGTTTGGGTTGGAAGGGGCATTTAAAGATCATCTATTCCAACCCCCTGCCATGGGCAGAGACATCTTTCACTAGATCAGGGTGCTCAAAGCCTCATCCAACCTGATCTTGAACACTTAAATGTTTTACATGTCTTGCCCCTGAATAAATCCCTGTATAGAAAAGAATGTCAACAGAGAGTTTGAGTGGGGATGCTTATCAATAAGAACTGACCCTCCTTTCAGACATTTTCTGGTTGTAGTCTAATGCTGTAGCATTCAGTTATTTTTGGTGGCAAATTAAAAGACTCTGCTTATGTCAAATATCAAGCTAATATAAAAAATGAAGATTTCTGTCCTGTTTACTGTTGGAGTTTATATATATATATACACACATGTATATAGTGGTCCAGTCTGTTGATAAAAAATTGATAGAACGATGAGCAGATTATTTTAGATTGAAAACTGTAACTAGAGGCATTTCATATCAAATATGAAGTACAGCTTCAGCATCTGTCCCTACCTGCTCCCAGAAATCCTCTTTGCTTGTGGAATACTGCCAAATCAATTTCTGATTTCTGAAAGTGATGAATGCACTCTTTTCTCTTTTAACATTTCCAATGCACTTAAAGTTTTTTTTCTAAAGAATCTAATTTAACATAATCTCATAGTTTAATAAGCAGCAGTTATTTTCAAGTATTTTCTTTTTTTCTCCAAGCAAGAGTAATTTTAACAGCTGTTAGAGCAGATAACTGAAATTGTATGGCAAAGAGACACCTAATATTGAAAAGTGGAACAATGGAGACTTTCTTCTAGGAAGTGCTGTAGCTATGCTGTGTGCATGCATGGATTTTTATTTTTCCCCCTTTTAATATGTTGAAGGAAGGCATTGTTTTATCTGGCCCTCTCCCTTTGTGTATTGCAAATTTTGAGGGGACTTTGTGGTGATAGATGGGGAAAGTGAAAACAAAAAAAATTTTTAGTACAGTGGATACTTCTCAGTGTCATAGGCTGTTTGTGCATGTAGGCTTTTCCTTAAATGTTTTGGGTTTTGCCTTTTTTCTTTTTTTTTGGAAGGCACCCAATCTAAGTCCTCATGTTTTCTTTCCAAGCATATAAGACAATAGAAATAAAGCTGGAAACCAAGTAATTTTTTCAAGGCCTGGGTCACAAATGATAATACAGTCAATTTTATACTTTAAGATGTGATGTCTAAAGGCAATCATTAGTCTCCACCAAGATGTAATACTGAATTGAGGGAAGGCAATGTATGATTAACAGAATTGTATAATGTGCTTTTTCATATTAAAAAACTACAGCTCCTTATCAACCACAGTTATAATTGTGTGAATTTTATTCAGCCTTTAAGTTTTTTGATTTGTATTTTGTGCTTCAAGTTGTGTTTCTGGTTTTTTTTCCTTTTTTTAGCAGTGTGGAAAGAAAAACATATCATGTTAGAGCTGCTTTGCTCTCAGATGATCTAGATCTGTATGTGTGCAGTGAATCTGATAATTTCTGGAAGTGCCAGCCTAACAATATGCATCCTTGCTTTCTGTCCTCTCTGCTTTCCCTTCAGGAGAGCACTCAGACAGACAGAAAGCTGGTGTTTGGAGTGCGTGTTGCTGCAAAGTGATTCCTGCAGCTTGCCTGGGGACAGTCTTTTTCCAATAGACTGCACAGCCAATGAGAGAAGTGGGTGCAGGCTAAATGAGTTGTTTTGGTGGCTGCAGCTCTTTTCTGATCAATGGTTTTCATCGATGCTCTGTACATTCCATAATTTTCTTTTTTTGGCTCCCTAACTAACTAAATTGGGTTCTGCCCGTTGACATCAAGAATGATCCTAACTGAGAGAACATCATCAACTTGTTTGTAAGGCACTGGCTTGAATCCAGTATGTATTTAACAGTCAACATTTTTGTAGTTTAGTCATGAATTATTAGAAAATGTCTCAACCCTTGGCAAAGATGAAAAGGTCTCAGGCCTCAACAGCTTGAAATTGGTTTGCAAGTCTTTAATATATAAAAATTCACACTTGTTTTGGATGTATAAAGCTCACTTTATGAGGCGTAGATGCTGGTTTTTGATTTTATACAAATGGTCTGCCAAGTCCTTTAGTTTTTGAGGAGCAAGGGTGTGACTGAAGTGAAGGCGTTTTTTATTACCGGAATACAAGGTTTATGATGTGTAAAAGAGGCCTTGAGGCTGATGTGTTTTCTTCTCCTCTTCCTCCAAATGCCTTTTAAAAATGGGTGTTTCTATATGAAAATTCAGATGTTGTCTTATTCTTTCTTCTGAAAATCTATCCTCAGTACTGCCTAAAAGCAGAAGGAAAACTGCCCTACTTTGAGAGTAGATTTGCTTTTATAACTCTTCAAAATCTGCTCTGACATCTGTTAAAGAATTCCTGTAATATACTTACTCCTGGAGTTTAAGTATGTCTCATGACCATATTCTATGTTGACCTGTAGATTGCCTTTGATCATCATCTTTCAGCTTTGTAGAAGACTTAGGTATTACATTTTAAAGCACAGATTTCTTGGGATGAATAAAGAAGTGAACATATATTACAATTTCATAATTAAGATATTGCACTTTAAATGTATACATTCTTGTATAAATATTGTATAAATATAATGAATGGGTTTTTGTATGTACAGCCACTATCATGATTTATAACTGTCCTTTATAATTTTAAGCTAAAGAATATATGGTAGGCCTTTTGCACTAAATTTATCAATGGTTGTACAATTTTATATGAACATTTGCATTGCTCTTGTACTTAACCTTCCATGCAAGTCCTGGGGAGCTGAATCTGAGCTAGAACTGAGGTCTCTGCTTCCAGAGATTTAGTCCTTGATTTCTTCCTGTAGTTTTAGATTCGATTTCTGTGTTAAGTGGCTTTAAGCTTAATGTATTTTTCATTTGTTTTCGACAGTGTATTACCTTCAGGAGATGGCCTCTTCTAAATCTTTGATGAACCTTCTAACCTTCACTTTTGGATCGGCAATAGGATTTTTCGTATGCTATCTTCTGTTTAGCATTATACTAGAAGAACATGTTAAGATCCAGCCTCATATACTTCACAATGATCCACATGGTCAACACTCAGCAGATACTCATAACAATCAGCTGCAAGGACAAATGAATTTCAATGCAGACTCTGGACAGCATAAAGGTATTTTGTTATGCCTGACTAATTATATAATATGTCCCCTTTTCTTGCCTTGCAAAATGTTGCTTTCTTCACTGCCAAGAATTTGTATGAATCCTTTTCTTTCCCTTTACCTATGTTTAGGTTACATCTAAATAACTTTGTTCTCTTGAGGTCTCCTGAATGGTCGTTTTCTTTGTTTACTTTTTTTTTTTTACAGTAGTGATTTTTTTTTTCCTTAGAGCCCAACTGTTTGTCCAGCTTCTGTATCCAAACTTCTTTGGAACAGGAACTTCTCAAATGAACTATTGACATCAAATGGTGGTTTTGCTAAGCAGATATATGTGTTAGCATTGTGGATGTGGCTGATTGCTTTTTAGCTTTAAGCAGCTGATTTTGGATCACTTCTAACTTTTTATCTAGCCTCTCAGTTAAAGCTGAAAAAAAAAAAAAAAGAAATTCACTTTTTGACACAATTAGTAAAACTTGGAATTGGGGTGGGGAGACAGAGGGGGTCACTGTGGGCATTGTTTGTCAAGCTGATCATGTAGCAGTCCAAACACAGATTGCTGTTCACAGTCAAAACCAGAGAAATTCTGTTGCACTCTGATTCCGCCCCCCCCAGGAAGGTAGACCCTTCTAATATTTCAGACATACTTTTAAATTTAACACATCTCATTAAATGAGTTCCTTCTAAATTGTAAATACAGATAGTGTCCGAGCTGGGACGGTTTGGATGAGAAAAAATGCACTGTAATGCATTTGCCGAAGATATTAATAAGTAATTTGCTATTTAAACACATTTAAACTGCAACTTTGTAAGACAAGTTTGTGAGTGTTTCACGTGTAATTGTAGATAATTGTTACAAAGAAATCTGTTCTGTTGTTGCCTAAAGTGTAAGCAGGAATATTTTAAGACCAGTTATACAGGTCTCACTCTCCATGGAATATTCTTTTACATGAATTAAAATCATGCTGTGTGTATCAAGTGAAAATTCTTCTTTGAGGGAAATGAATGCTTTGGCAGCTTGGAAAACATTATATTACACACCTCAAATGACAGTGTCCATTTATTCTGTTGGATTGTCTGCAAATAAAAACATTTTAGCACAACAATGATACTAATTTCATACTAACCTAATGTATTTAATCTGATTTTTTTACAAATAAGATTTAACTTGATTTGATGATAAATTCTTTCTTTCTGGCTTACCATCTGCTTTTTCCTTCAAAAATGTGTTGCTGTTTTAGAAATATTTATTAGGTTTTGTTAGTTAACATGGGTGTATGTAACAGAGCTTATTAGCTTTTTGACCTTTCTGTGTTGTAATCATTAAGTTGTATTCATTGTGAATGGCAAAAATACTCAGCTTTTTAATTTTCGTTAGTCCTCCAGTACCATAAAGAAGTTGCCTCTGAACAGTTTTTAGGTACAAATCAAGGTTTTTTAAAGCCATGCTTCCCTGAGCTGATACACATTTTGATATGGCTCTTATGCTCACCTTTATTCTGTGAAATTGAAGTAGCTTTAAGAATTTTAGTTTCTTGATTTTTGGGAATTCTTGTTTGTTTTCTTCCTAAATCTAACATTAATTTCATTAACTGGTACATTTGGAAGCAAATACCGCTTCTCTCTCTGCGTGTCTTTTCTGATCTAGAAACAGAATGTCTGGGGGGAGGTTGCTCTTATGTTTGTTTTGCAATCAAGTCTAATATTGTTTTGGAACTTCCCTCTTTTTTTAGATGAGAATAAAAATATTGCAGATGGACTGTATCAGAAGGTGAAGATACTGTGCTGGGTCATGACTGGACCTCAAAATCTAGAAAAGAAAGCCAAGCATGTTAAGGCCACTTGGGCCCAACGTTGTAATAAAATACTTTTTATGAGCTCTGAGGAAAATAAAGACTTCCCAACTGTGGGCTTAGAAACCAAAGAAGGCAGGGACCAACTGTACTGGAAGACTATTAAAGCTTTTCAATATGTATATGACCATTATTTTGATGATGCTGATTGGTTTATGAAAGCAGATGACGATACATACGTTATATTGGACAATTTGAGATGGCTTCTTTCAAAATACAGTCCTGAACAACCAATATACTTTGGAAGAAGGTTTAAGCCTTATGTGAAACAGGGCTACATGAGTGGAGGAGCAGGATATGTTCTGAGCAAAGAAGCTCTGAAGAGATTTGTGGCTGCATTTAAAACAAACAAATGCTCTCACAGTTCCTCAATTGAAGACCTAGCACTAGGAAAATGCATGGAGATCATTAATGTGGAAGCAGGAGATTCTAGGGATACCAGTGGCAGAGAAACCTTTCATCCTTTTGTTCCAGAACATCACTTAATCAGAGGATACCTACCAAAAACATTCTGGTACTGGAACTATAATTATTATCCTGCTGTAGAGGTAAGTCCTTAGGAACCTGGTACCCATTTGATGAAGTATATCTATAATGTGTATGAATGTGTATGATGTGTGAATTAGCAGCTTAATAGCAGCTCAATATATTTCAGAAAAGAAGATTTTGTTGTGATATCCTGTGATACACCTGCGTGTAGATGTGTTAAATACACTAGTCATCAACTAGAAGTTGATGCTAAGAAGTTAATGTTCCAGAAGAGCTAGTGAATCTTAAATTATTATTGCAGTTTTGCGATGTTCTCTGGATATCAAAAAACAATGAAACCTTTTTGACCCATTTGTCTAGTGTCACCACTGCTACCTTCCTTGCAAAGTTACTGTTCTGATGTGTTCCCTCATATCTCACACACAGTGTCCCTGGCTTCCCCTCCAGCCACCCAGCTCCCAGTGTGCAGTGAGAAGCGGGACCAGCATGGTTCATTCCAAGCTGTGTGTGCTGACGGTGCAGAGCCAGGTCAAATAGTATGGCTTAGTTACATTAAAGCCTACCGAAAGGGAAGGTGCCACCGATACACCTTTTATCTTCTACCCAACAGCAACCTTTGCGTAAAACCTGTAGAAATAGAAGTAATTTTGAGACTTGCTCGTGACTGTAGTGGGTTAACATCGGCTAAGAGATTCCCAAGTTACTGGAGGGGCTGGTGAGTGATGGTATGCGTGAGTGTACTGCCTGCTAGTCTTCTTCCCTTCAAATGGAGATGTGCTGCAATATACTTCTGTTATCTCTGATAACTGCATGCGGTGTTACCTGGCTTGAACGCTGCTAGCTGCCCTGCCCTCACTTTTTTGTTGAAGGTTGTTAAAATGTACGTGTAAGTGAATTATAGAAGATGAACGTTGCCTAGAAGTGAAATAAAAGCACCACCCAAACAAGAAAATATGATTAGATTTCCTTATGTAGTTGTATTGGACTCTTGTCTACCTTCTGTAGATGTGGAGGCAAGCATGAGAGCTGGCAAAGCTGATTTTTTTTTTTTAATTTTTTTTGTTGCAGCAACAAAAATAGCATTTACAAATGAAACATTCTTAGTGCAAGAACTTCAGATTATACTTTGTGTTCCACATCTGAAATCTCCAGTTTAAAAAAAAAAAGAAAAAGAAAAGGGGGGGGAGCAGGGCACTACTTTAAATTGGAATTAAAGCAATCTGAAGGTATTCTGCATTGTAAACTTTGATGGTCATATAATCTGTGATGTGACTTCTTTTTTAGGATTATAATCTCACTTTTAGAGGTATTATTTTTCAGCAAGCTTTGAGATCAGCATGGGTGGCTGAAATCAAAGATAGGATGTGGGACTTTTTACACAGTAAAGCTGGGGGAAAAAAAGTCTAGTTTTTTAGTAGACAGGCTTTAGTAGACTATTCATTGTAAAGCATCTATTTTTATACTTGTATTCAGTGACTAGAGCATTTCTGTAGCTTAAAACAGCTACTATACTGTATTTAGTGGGTCAGGATGCAGCAGCTTTAGCTGTGGTTGCAGTTCACGGGTGGCTGAGCTGTGGACAGTTACATCTGTAACTGATGCAGTGGTGGTGGAGATCCACAATGGAAATTGCATAATTGATCCTGTCCTGTCATACTTGTGTTTGGATAGAGACCACTTCGTCTGGTATCAAAACCAAGCTATATTGGTCAAACTTAGTAAGTATTGAAAGAATAACAATTGTGTAACAATTGTTCTCTTCAGTGTCTTTAAATGTTGAATCTTAGTTCCAATTAGAGATGGAATATTAGCAGCTCTGCAATCAAATCTCCCACCATGACTCCCAAATGACACCTCTCCCCCACCCCCCCCCAAACTATCTTCCAGAAAAGTGCTCTGAGAGCTGAATTTGAGCTAGGAAAACCAAGTTGTAACAAGTATGTTAACAGGGATCTTCTAGCTCTTAAAAATGCTTAATAATGTCAATGAAATTAATAGACTTAAAAAAAAAATAGTTCCAAAATGATTTGTTACAACTTTCTGTATGTAGAAAGTTAGATACTGACAGTTTTGTCAAAATGTATAATGTGTGAACACACACACACACACAGAGGTGTGTGCATGCACATTTGGCTTGTATACTCTGGGTGGATGCTGCCGTGAGTAACAAGCATGTATTGTTTCATATATAAATGCAAAGCATTTAGACCTGCTTGCTGCTGCTTGGTTTTGTTGAAACACCAACGTAAAAAAAAGAAGAATGAAAAAGCAAGAAAACCTCTGACATTTAATGAGGGCAGCTAGTTTTTTCACTGGCTTGATTACAGAAGCAAAAGACTTTGTGCAACATTATTTTGGAAAGATGCTTTGGCAGATATGTCTGATACATTCTGCTTGCCTAACATTAAGTTTTGAAGTATATGAATGACTGATGATTGTGAATTTCTTACCATGAAGTCAAGTATGTGTTTGAGTTCTTCCTGGATCTTCAATCCAGGGCATGCTTTGCGATTCTTGCTGATTATTTTGTTTTATATTTTAGGGTCCTGGATGCTGCTCCGATCTAGCAGTTTCATTCCACTATGTTGATTCTGTGACTATGTATCATTTGGAATATTTGATTTATCATCTCCGTCCATATGGGTATTTGTATCGGTACAATCCTGATTTGGCAAGGAATCCAGAAGAGCAGAGCAAAAATGAGGCACTGGAGGATAATCAAAAGCTAAAGCAAAAAATTTCTGAGAATTAATTGGACTTGAAGAAAACGAAAAGAAGCCAGTACAATGAATAAGAGTCTCCTCAAACTCCTGCATGAAGCTTGTGGACTAAAATTACTCATGGCGATTCTTATTTCAAAAATCACGCTGGCAGTACTTCCTGTCACTGTCTGTGTATGACAGAGTCCGGTACTGGCTCTGGCTGTTTGGGATACTGTGACCTTGCAGCCCTGCTCATGAAGATTTGGGGCCCTAAAGCTGTGAAATAGGAGGTTGTTCTGGTACACTAATATCTGGAAGAATTTGTATAAAAAACATAGTGGACAGGTTCAAAGATAATCATACACTATTTCTGTTCCTTTTTTCGCTCCCCTCTATTTCCTTCTAGATGTTCTGTTAGGTGAGTTCTAATATTAGAAATTGGATGCTGCACAGTCACATCCTTCATGATGGCTTTCTCTTGTCTTCTCGGTGTCTTGAAGTTACTGTGTGTACCTTGCCCTGTAAGGAAGGGAGAGGTCTGAAAATAGTCTCAAGTCTGCTTTGCCTTAACAACAGACTGGTTATTATGAATAGGCAGAGATCCACCCAAAAGATTAATCTGAATTGTTTCAGAAAGGGAATTCACTGCCATGAATTATTTTTAAAACTTTTAAGTCTCTATTGTACAAAACAATATGAAGTTGGATCACTACTGTTTTAGGGAGAAACCCAGAAATAGTATTGTTTAAATTGCTGAGGTGATGCAAGCTGCTTACATATTTGCCTGTGGCTTTTTTTTGTTTTAACTTATCCTGTTGGTTGAATGGATATAAAAATTCATCTCAGAATTTCTCAGTGTAAGATAAGGTAGATGCTTTTTGAAATAGAAGTTCTCTTCCATCACACCTTCCATGTAAACCAGAAAGAAAGGTATCTTAGCAAAGTTAAAATGGCACTATAATAACTTGGTTTCAGCCATTATTATAATCAGTTTGTTTCCATTTAATTTTCACATCACTACACTTCGAGATTGTGGAGTTACTTTATTCATTGTAAAATTTTACAGATGCAAACAAGTCTTACTTTAAAACTGCAGCAAAGCCGATTTGACTGCTTCCCTACAATGGCTCAAGTACTTAATTTCACCTTTCTGAAAATCTTTTTTCTCCGCTTTTAAAATTTCTTATGTATCTGTTTCTTGTTACCTTTTTCAGAACAAAGTGTTAAATGATCCTTATTTCACTCTTTTTGAAGGTGAAGTATATAGTCATTCAGGTAAACCAGCCTGAATGCAGGGATCTTTCAAAGATCTCCACTACTTTGTGAGTATCTCTGCCTCTTAACTGAAAACACTTTCTTGGTGTGGGACAAAATAGGTGTTTTCATTACTGAAAAATTTTCAGAGGCCAAGCCTGTGTTTTATATAGTTAACTTAAAACTTTCTGGTTTTCTCTTTCAAATGAGTGAATAGCAGTATGGGGGATGGGGTTAAGCTTGATGTGTCGTGTGTCTGTATTCCACACTTGAACAAAAGTTTCTTCATCTTTTTGTCACTTTTCGCCTTCATCATATTGATGAATTTGGACATAACCAACATTACCTCCAGTTATTGTTTTGGAAAGGGCACATGCTGGTAGCAGACAGCCTTATTTACTACTGCTGTCCTTCAGTATGTTCCTGGAAGAGGATGTTACCTTCTGGAAGTACTGGAATTTTTTTTCCAAAGATACATACAGGTTGGGGTTCTGTCTCTTGTCCAACAGTAAAGAGTCGTGACTTCCTTTCTGACTATTGCTCTGCAGCATGGTGGCAGTTACTGAAGAATCTCATGGAGTTGAAATATTACATACATCTTCTCTACCTGCAAGTAGGCTGGGGTCATGTACCAGTTACTAGTTAAACGAATAGTTCCTGCAGGGTTAAATCTGTTGGTCTTTTATGAGCAAGACTGCCTCTGAAGTACTGAAAGGGACACGAGCTTTATTTTACGTTAATTGACTTAAGTAGAAAATTGTAACTGTGTTTAAAAAAGGAAGGTCTCCAAGTTTGCTCTAGTCAGAGGGATGCTTGTCCAGAGAACGGATGGTACCATGCTGAGAGGTGCTTCCTTCTGCGAGCTAAATGTTTATCCCGTGTGCAACACGTCCCAGTAATATTATGAAATCTATATGGTATTGATAACTCCAGTGGCATTGTTCAAACATGCAATTAAAATTTTCTGGAATACTTAAGGAAGTTAAACTGAAATCAAGATCCCAACTTAATCTCTTTGTAAATTCAGCCCTTGTAGATGATTTACTGAACTACTGTACTGTTCCTTTATTACTGCTTTCTTCCTCAGTTCATCCATGTGGATTTAAAGATTTTCTTCCACAACAGGCAGAACTAATCTTGCGTGTTTTCTGCAGATCTGTGTCCTATGTTTGCCCTGTGCTGCCCTGTGAAGTAGCATCATTTCCTCTTTGTGTTCCTTACTATCCTGACTATCCTGTCTTTGGGTTTTCAGTTTCATCATGCATGAGTCTCAGGTGGACAAGAGGAGGCAGGCAGCGAGATGTTTGAGCTCCGCACAGGTTGGTTGCTGAGGTGGCAAGTCAAATGCTGAGCTCAGGGTGAAGCATTTTCTCAGCAGCAGTTCTAATTCTTGTCTGCTGCCCAGCTGTGGCTTCTGGGTTTAGTGGAGTCGGGCAGGAATGTCCCTTTCCACAAAATGTTCAGGACCTCAGAAGGAATGGAGAAATAAAGGAATAAGTTCCATTTCTTGAGGGAATAAGGTTGAGAACGTACTACCTTGTGATAAATAGTTGGCCTGTTTGGAGAAATAAGAGTAGCCTTTTCTTCAAACATCCATTCTTGCTTTGGTTTAAAGTGTCCTTGCTCCTAGGCCTCTGAATCTATTTATTTTGCCTTTCTAACAGAAAAGAAATTCTTCTTTTCCTTCCAGACAAGCTAGAAAAGTATAATTTTTTACATTCTGTGATTATAACAGAGGAATATTGTTCTCCATTGAATTGTATTGCTGTAACAATGAGCTGATACCTCTGAAATAATTGGTTTGTATCTCACTCCCTTCAAAAGCTTCAGTAGACAAGGTTGGAATGTGAACAGTATAATTTTCATGTACAATATTACACTACTATTAGTAGTTTGTTATTTCATTCTCAGGTCTTTGTGCTTTGAGAAAGTATTGAGTTTGAGTGTTTCTGCAGCGCAAGGAGGCTGCTGTGTTTCAGGTGGAAGGACCTTTCTGAAGCGCAGCAATGTAGGCTGTCTTCGGCTATAACAATTATTGCTCTGTGGTTTGGTTTTGTTTTGTTTCTAAAAGAGGTTTCTTAATTTTATAAAACCTAAAAGCTTCCATTGGCACCGTACTGATTTAAATGACCCATCTAAAATTTTTGAACTAGTTTTCTTGAAATTACTAGGCAGCAGTTGTTTGCACTCGGGTGTGAGAATGTCGCTTAGTGTAACAGAGTAACATTTTAACCTTGTGTTAAGTGTTTTTTAGTTCAGGAGGAATGAGAATGCCAAGAAGTTACCCTCTGATCACTGCTCTTAATCAGAGGATAGTATTAATCTTTGCAGAAAAAGACCAGTTTTAATCTTCCTTCATTCCCAATTAATTTTTGCAGTCTATATTGGTCTTATTGAAGAGGTTAAACACTGGCAATGTTAGCACCGTCTCTCACTTTGCAGAAACTCCTTTCCCAGTACCTTTTACCTTTAAGGACACTTGATTTGTTTTGCTTTGGTGAGGTTATATATTAAAAATCACTTTTTCTTCACATGTTGCCATTTGTTCTGTTACGCTTCCAGAAGGATAAAGGTTAGTGAGTAGCTGATAGACCTCTTACAAACAGTTTGCTATCCCAGCAGGGTGTTTTATCTTTGTACAACAGAAAAGTGCAGGTTATTTCTCTGATGATGTACCCGCTACTGATGTTGATAGTGCATGCACAGATGAAAACAGATCCCTCAATACGGACCACTTGGAAAGGCAATTTTGTCCTTTTTCTGTAAAGAAAAACTTCTGTGGAACTCCAAAGTGTAATTTGCTTTGTTTTACCATATTGTATTTAAAGTACGCCACAAATGTTATTAATGCTCTAAAAGAATTGAATATTGCTGCTGGACAGTATGCTCCACTTAAAACCTGTGAATGTTTCACTTTGCCATTATAGGTAGTCGTGTCCCTGATGGCAGGTATAAGTTGGTGACTTGTCTGGAATGATTACCATAAGGATTTGTTTCTTAAATACCTTCTTTGAAGTGCCTTTGACCAATTTTTAGCATCAAAATTAAGTTGAGAATTGAATAAATAAGTTATCTCATACACAGTGCATGTTTGTCTTCATTTGCCCCTCCTGTATGCTAATAGTGTAGCATAGCTAATAAAAACATTCTTACTTTTTTTTCTTGGGTGGGTACAGGAAAGTCAAAAATCTTCTCACACTTGCTATGTTTTCTGCTATTATATTTATGCTAGTAACAAATAGCAAGCTACCTTGAAAACAAAGAGGGCTCTGGAGAAAACCTGTTTTGTAAGTGTGGGCTTGCTTTGCTTGCTTTTTTAATATGTAACAGACACTGCGTATTTGATTGCCAGAAGTTGTAGACACAAGTGAAGCATCATTCGATGAAGGTAAGCTCTCATAGCCTGCTCACTTACAGAAAACTTCACTGGCTCAAGGGAATTTTCCTAGGGTTCTCTCTGCACTAGTGTGAACTAAAAAGAAATTTAAGTAAATATCTTACACCCTGGGACTGCTAAGGTAGTTCTAAGCTGTGGGGACGGTAAGCCTGCCTATTGCTGGTTCCAGCTCTCGCTGCAAAACCTTGAGCAGTCTTTCCTCCTCTTTGACAGTGTTTCACCTTAACAAGGCCCTTCTATGGGTTCCAGAAATTTGGTAGTGAGGGACTTACTCTGACAACTAGTATGAGGAGTAAGGGAGAAAATCACAGCCCTGCCACGAATGTTTTCATTCTTCCACATGTAAAGTAATTTAGCATGGACAGGAAAACAGCCTGATCAATGGATCACCCTTCTAGG